ACACGGACAGCCACACGCCACTCAGGACTTTGTCACCCACAGCACTCTACAGGGGCTTCTGTGTTCCTGCCCAACTGCACCCCATTGTCTGGAACAAGAGCTACTGAAGGGCAGGTGCCACATGAGTCCTTGCAGAGAACTGGTGCTGAATGAATTCTAAGTGAATGACCTTGCATGAAAGGTTTTTAAAAGGCTAAAAAGCAAACCATGCAAAAAGCAGACAATAGATATTTTCTGCTACTGAAAGCATGCATTTTCTCAACTCTACTCTTTGGCTGAGTATCACTTAGGAAGCAGACACAGATGCTCTACCACTTCCTAGTTGAGTATCTGTGGGCAAATTAAGCAACCTCACTGTGTCTCAGACTCCCGCTTACTGAAAGGAACCACCCCTGCAGTGTGGTTAAGAGGCCTAATGAATATATGTTTAAAATAACAGAAAACATTGACTAAATGGTAGTTCTTACCAGCCTGCTGTGATCACAGAAACATTAACAGGACCAGATACTGCACCATCAGGAATATGAGCACGACAAAATTTTTGTTAAAACTATGTTTTTTTGAGGAGAGCTGAAAGTCAACAAATCCAACAGCTTGTCTTCCAGCTGCACCCTGCTCTCTACAGTCCTCAGGACCGATCCCTAGTGACCACTATGTCCCCGCCTCCTCCGACAATGCGGACTCCCAGGTCTCTGGCCTCTGACCACACCTCCTCCTCCTCTTCTGTAGCTTGCCCACTAAGGACACCTAAAGTCAGGCATTCCTTGAGCTCAGCTCACACATTTTTCTCATCTTGTCCCCTCTCAAGCCATCAATTATCATCTCTATGGAGATGACCCCACGACCTCTCAGTTACATTCAGAAAACATTTCAAGCTGGATTTATACAACATAGATGGTTACCTTAATTAGATGATGAAGCATACAGCTTCAACTTCTCTCTTTTTTTTAAACATTGTTTATTGATTTATAATCATTTTACAATGTTGTGTCAAATTCCAGTGTTCAGCACAATTTTT